AAATATCTGCTTATTAACAGATTAGTTGTTTCGAGTGTGGAAAAAAAGATTTTAAAAGAAATCAGAAGATTTAACATTTCTTACAGTTCAGTAGCAGTAATAATATAGAAATGCTGTAATTGTGACTTCTTTCTTGAACAGTAGAGATTCTGATTCACTGAGGTTAATCTGAGAAGCCTGATCTGCAGGTAGAGAGTATTTCTTAGATGATTTTTTCCTCTCTCTGTGTGGTCAGACTACACAGGTGATGAAAGATAACCCTGTCAAGACCAAGTTCTAGTCTGTTAGTTGCGCAATTAAATACGAGAAATGTTGTGACCAGAGGCTGAGGATGTTTTATAGCCATCACAATGCAACTTAGAAGTGGAAAGGATAAAGAAATACTTGTAAAAGAGATTGTTTTAAATACAGCTAAGCCGTTTCCTTCCTGTCTGTTCTGGATTTCATATTAGCAACAGGCTTCATGCATATGCTGTGAAGTGTTTTTGGCTGTGGAGTTCTACAGGGACAGCTTCTTAGTCCACAGCCAGGTCCCTTTCATGTTCTACTTCAGATCCTTTGCTTTCCTTATCTTGTCACTTTTCTAAATTTCTTTCTCCTTGCAAAAAACAAAGAAAAACACGTGCATTTTGGTTTAGATGGATAGATAATATCTGTGTGTTAGGTAAGCACTTTGGCAGTATTGTATTATAAAGGTAATTTCACAGAGTCAGTTCTTGATGTTTTTAGCCTGAGCTGATGCTGGTTCAAAGTATTGCCTATAGTGCTAGGGTTTTGGTTTGCTTCAGAACCTTCTAGATGTTTGGTTGTGGGTTTGTTTGTTTTTTCCCCTCCCTAATAATATAATACAATATTTGCAAGCTTTTAAAAAGTAAAAGTTGGTTACGGAGCTCCCTAACTGGTATTTCTATTTCTAGAGTTACATGGTTCAAATTACCTGGTTGAGTATCAATGGAGGACTGAAATCCTTTGGCCTTCAGGCTACTTCTAGGCCATATATCACTGGTCCTAGAAGTTTAATCTGCTATTTACAGTTAAAAACAGCACTATTGGTTCCTGGGCAGAACTGTGCACCAAAGCAACCACGTGCCATTCACTGGAACTTTTAGTTGTGTCTATCCAGATCGCAAAGCCCTTTCTCAAAATCTGGGAGTAGTAAATAGTGCATAACAGGTCAGGAAATTCACTAGACAAAAAGGTTTTGCCTTCAGAGACACTTCTTTCCTGTGATGGTTAACTTAGATGTTAGTCCTGAACTGCAGGTTGTGAAAGTGGGACTGCTGGGGTTTTTTTTAACTTTATCTGTTGAGCTTTTATTATTTTGTAGTAAAAGAAACTTCTCTTTCTTAGCAGCAGCAGAGAGAGGAATATTTAAAATTAACCTTTTAAAACATTGTAAAATAGATATATATTCTATATAGATATATATTCTATAGCAGTAATTCAAAGGCATCTAGGTTTTGTTTGGATGAAAGCTTAGTAATCCAATTGGAGAAAACATGTAATTGTGTGGTGCTGATCAGTTTGAGGTATCTGGTTTTAAGGTTACAGCACTTTGAACAGAAGCTTTGCACTGAAAAATATTTCTCCTTACAGGCAGTTCCAAGGCTGCATCTTTGCACTGGACAAGTGAGCGAGCTGTCAGTGTCCTTTTGCTGGGTCTCCTTCCTGCAGCCTACCTGTATCCTGGACCAGCTGTGGACTATTCACTGGCTGCAGCCCTCACTCTCCATGGCCACTGGTAAGCACAATAGGTCCCTCAGAATTAAGGTCTTAATTAAGAATTGAGGCCTTAAATCTGTATATGGCAGTAACTCTACTGACTTATTTCCTGATCTAATATAAAACACCTGAAAAGAGATGCAAACAAAGTCCTTACTCTCCAAGTTCTGTGACAGTTGTGATCTTTGACAAGACTAGTTGTACCTTGGTCTTCCTTTGTCATACTGTTCTCTCAGTTAGAAGGCAGGATAAGTATTACTATTAAGGAATCCATAAACATTCTCTAGTGTTCTTCTACACAGTATCTTACTTTAGGAGGATTTCCTTGCCACTGGCTGTGTAGAATCTTGGACAATTCTGTCTTGTAGAAGAATCAATGTTGTATGAACAGAGGGAAGAGAAACAGGACAGATCTGTACAATAACAAGTTGTTCTCCTAAGTTTCTGTACTTTGTACATCTCAGTGGTGATGAGATTCTGCATAATAAAAAGTTTAGAGCAAATATTCCACTAAAGAAGCTGAAACCTTGATCCTTATTTTCTTGATTCCTGGGAAATGGATGCTTGCTCATGTTCTTCTTCTGACGTGTAGTTCTGCTGTGATCTTTAATGTGAGTAGGCTAGATGAGTCTAGTTAGGAGTGGATCCAGCTGCATGGTTGGCCTAACTGGTAGCATTTACATTCCTGAGGTGATACTGGTCTGTATTTCCTTGTCATAGGGATAAAGCAGATAAGCAACTGCATGGTACTTTGGGATGGCAGGTTTTCTTAAATCTCAGTTTTGCCCTTATAAAGTTATACCAGGGATTCCTGCACTTTCCTCCCTGTGACTGGGAGCTTCTTCCTGAAGCCCTCCAATCTAGTACAGAATTCATCTGAACTGTGGCTAGCCTTGAAATATGTTTTGAAAGAGCTGTACTCAACACCTTGTTTCCTGACTACCATTAAGAAAATTCTGAGCCAATATGTGTATTTTTTTTAATAGAATATGTGGAATGTTGTGCTGTTTGTTTGGGTTTTTTTAATAGATGCATCTTCTTTTTAGAGTGGGAACTGGGCATATGTTAGGAAAGGCTCACGATAGTGGGTGAAAAAAATGATGTATTTGATCAGTCTTAGTAGAATGCTCACATAAACTGTGTGGATTTCAATGAGGAATGTTCTTTTCTGATTTCAGCTTTTTTCTCTCTCCTATTCTGTAGGGGTCTTGGACAGGTTATAACTGACTACGTCCATGGAGATACACCCGTTAAACTGGCCAATACAGGTCTGTACATACTGTCAGCCATGACCTTTGCTGGCCTCTGCTACTTTAACTATTATGATGTTGGTATCTGCAAGGCTGTTGCCATGCTGTGGAGCCTCTAAGATGTGACTGAGTCCCTGACAAACATGATTGTTCACTGCTGCCTCTGCTTCATCGTATTTTTACCAGCACATTTAATGCAAAACCAATTAATAACCAAGGATCCATAGTATGTACATAGTGCAGCAAGTTCAGAGCTAGTCTTCTAGAAATAAACATCCAACAGGAGTAAAAATGTTAGAAAAAGAAGAAGCAGATTTAAAGTGGATAATGTCCAGGTGAGAGTGAGTTGATTTAAGCTGTACTGTAAATTGGAAGGAATTAATTATATTAATGACAGACACACACAGCTGAAGGTAACTTTCCTTGAAATGGCAGCTTTAATGAGTGTTTTTCTAAAATAACAGCTGTTTGGCTTCTTGTTTTGTACAATAAACTTGACTTGCAGAAAATTGAACTGTTATTTCTGACATCACAACAACTGAACTGTATGTAAGGCACATGTAACTCTTTGGACCCTGAAAGTCGATGCAGAAAAGGGAATACTTTTTTTCTTAATCCATACAATAAAGAATTTGCAGAAACTGTGTGTGTGTGTGCTTCTGAATGATTTTTACTACTTTGGAATTACTTAAAATGTTTTCTCTGCAGATAGGCTTTTTTTTTCCCTAAAATCAAGTTCAAATACTAATTCATACTGTTATGTTACTGTTCATGCTGTTACTCTGCATTAGTTCATTTAGATGCCAACAAAACAAAAAATATTTTTATGAATATATATTGTCCTTAATACTTAAAGAGGTGATTTAGACTTGATTTAATACAAGAGTAAAGCCCATCTGAAAATACAGCAATAATTGACTTGGAAGAAAAAGACTTTTGCAGATTAATTTTAGGAGCCATACATAGCATGTGGCTTTCATAGCTTCCCTCACACCTGTATGTTCATCTGCAATGTTTGTTTGTTTGGTTTGTATAAATAAACACTAGTAGGCATTTTCCTGTGTGACTGAAAAGACAACAAACATATCCTTTCTGTCATAGCTTGACATGAGACTGAGGAAACGTTCTTTCTATGTCTTCAGTTTTAGAGCATTTTAGGGACAGAAATGAGATTCTGGGGTTTTTTAACTTTCTTCTCTGCTTTATCTTTTCTGACTTTCATAGTAGCAAGGAGTGGTTAACTGTTTCCACATTCTAATAGTGCTTCTGTGGTACTATTAATAGTAAGAGGAAGAGAATTGTGTGTTACCATCAGTCTGATTATGCAATAAGCAGAATTAATAAGTTGCTGTTTGAATTCTACATTTGTTCCAAATTGTTAGAAGGACAAATGTCTGTTTTCATTTCATCGTTAACTTATAATTTACTGTTAACTTTTAAAAACTTTTACATAAAAGCATATTTTTTTTCCTTTGGGCCCTCTGAGGACAAACAGCTTTATCAGAACTTCAGTTTTTCTGGTAAGTTAGCAGTTTTCTAAGCAAAGATTTCCATTAAGTTAAAAGTTGACTGTTGTTTCTACTTAAGTTAAAGGTGGGGATGTCACTGTGTAACTGAGATTGATGAAGACGCTCAGGAAATAATCTTGATGCAAAGAAGTAATTTATTGGCCAAGTACATGGTCTGCTTATGGTATCTGTTATTTTACACAGTTTTCTCTCCCTCCCCAAAACAGGTCTACTTCATCGATGAGACAGCAAAAGCTGTTTGATCAACAGGGAGTCAAGATTTTAGGGATCAAATTATATAGGACTATATAGGCATGAACGTTCTTTTTTCTTCATGGTGTAATTCTGTTTACTTCAATCTGAATGGAAAACATTCTTCTGCTTCTTTTTGCCAAGAATTTGAATTTATTTTCCTTTGTAAGATGCTCATTTTTGTACTGACTTAAGGTAGCTAAAAACATAAAACTGGCCTGCCTTGGATGAAGAAAGAATAAGATTTCTTTTACAAAAAGCCACGGTATATTTTAAGACCGTTGAAGTTGTGACTTTCATTCTGACATAAATTAGAAACTTATCTTCATGGTTTCATCCACTTCGTCTTCTCTTGACAGTTTCTTTAGAATTAATTTTCTTAAGCTGCCTTCTTCCTCAAAGGCCAAAAACATTCCTTGTTCTAGTGAGTATTCAAACTTAAATGCTTTGGCGCTACAAGATGTAAATGTCTTTTTGAAAAAGATGACGTTACTTTCACCAGGAATTTCTTTAGGAACTTCTCCTTCCTGATGAAGAAAAAAGGAATGGGTTAGTCCCACTGCAAGACCTGAGCAGTTTTGTTTCAGCTCACAGATGTAGGAATTCTTAATTTTGCCGACTACTTACAGGGTATGGAAAGGAGATACTTACCCTAAATCGAACTATCGTTTTTCCACGTTCTTTCTCACAACACATGTAATAACTTTTATCTTCTACCTGGACACTGAATGCAACAGGCATCCCTGCTGAGGGTGTGGTAGTTTTATAATAGTGAATGTTGAAGTGCATTCCGTTCCCTAAATATAAATTGTTTATTATTAATAGTCTGCTCAGGAGAGAGCTGCAACAACTTAACCATATTATGTTTTACCATTGTACTGGCAACTGCTGTCTTCCCAGGATACTGTTCCTGACAGGAGAGCCAGGACTTGAATTTTTATGACTGCTGGTAGCACGTACTTGACTTTCTGCAGTCATTCACTGACCAAGGTTTTGATTTTTTTTTTTGTAATCTGACACAAAGACAAGACACAAAATTTCAGCTCGCTTAGCTTTACTCTTACGAATGAAGTTGACGTCTTTACTCTCAGTCTCATCATTTAGAGTCAGCGATTACAAAGAACAAAAGCACATCTAGAATAAAGAAACAGTGCAATGGTTATAGAATGTATTTGGAAAATGGTGTACCAGATTTCATCTCATGATCTGTCACGTTTTCAAAAGCTGCCATGTTTAAATCGGGTCGAACTACAAGCAACTGGCTATTTACATTTCGAAGGACTCGGTGGAGAGTTTTTTCCTTACAAAAGGCATCACATTCCAGCCCTGTAGAAATATTAAGCAGAGCGTTGAATATTTGAGCTGTAATCTCCTCAGATCTTAACAGTTTGCTACAGGCTTAATCTTGTCATTAAGGATACCAGGTGAAATAAGTTCTACAATGGCAATCTCAAGCAAAACAGAGGCCATGTCCTTCTTTCCATCTCTGGCTTGTAGCAATCCAGGCAAGTCACAAGGATTTCCCAGAACATGGCATTCTGTATATATAAGCAAGAGAAGCTGCTGTATCTGTTAATGAAAGTTCAGAAGCAACAATTCTCTCTTTTGCCCAATAATTAGGATTACATTAAAAGTTCCTTCTGTTAGGGAAGCCAACACCCTGTATCTTAGGAGGAAATAAAGCAACATCAACTTCAGGAGAAGGTAAGCTGTAGCTCCCTTGTTTACAGCAGCCATTATCAGTTTGAAAGCTTGTTCTCTAAGGCACACAAAGCATTTGTGGGTTAAGTAAGCGTGAGCAGGTTAGTTCAAGTAAAATTGGTAATGAAGTTAATAAATGATGAGCTTTTAGCTTACCATCATCATCTTGGTTCCAAGTGAGCAATGAAAAAAAAGGAAAGAAAAAAACAACATTAAGCTCTGCCTCTACAAAGAAACCACTTTCTACCCAGTTTTGTTCTGCAAGATTGGAAGCCAGCCAGCCACCTACGCGTTTCCAGTTGTACTCCCCAGTATCACTGACGCACCAAGCTGAGCTATTCTAACTACATAGTGTATTTTGTGGGCACAATAAATTCAACAGAATGATGAAACCGACAGTCATTTGAGAACTGGAGTTACCACCAAACCAACAGGCATGCAAAATGTTTTAGGGTTACTTAAGGGTGAGCAGCTCAGTTCAGTTTAAGCCTATAGCCAAGGAATAAATGGCATGCAAAATTTTGTTTTCATCAGCACCTTTATTCTAAGTGAGCAAAAGGACAAGAAATAGTCATTACAAATTGCTTCTAAAGAAGAGACTGTTTTCTAACTAACTTTATCCTGTAAGTTTTCCAAGTCCACCCCATAGTGTTACAACCCTTCTGAGTGTCCTTTATGGGAATGTATTGTATGAAGCAACAAATATTCCACTGACTCAGATACTTGGCTAACAATGCTTCAACTGAAGCTTATGGGAAAATTATATTAAATCAGACTGATAAAGGAATTGTTTTCAATCAGTATTTAAAGAGAGAAAGTTATTAAATGCTTAAGGTGTTCAGCAATAATACAGTACTGACCTGTTAACATGCTGGGACAGCTGTCTCAAACTCAGATTCTTTTTGCAGTGAACAGCTTGGCTCCATAATCTAAGAACTATCATTCTTCTAAGTGGGTGGGGATTGTAACTGCTTTGAGGATTGCTCAAGGTAACATGGGGGGAAAAAATGGGATTCCACAAAACCAGGGATGCCAGCCCAAGGAAAGGATTGACTTGTATACCAGCTTTTGATCTTCTATGCAGAAAGAAGACACGGTGTGTCTCTTTCAGCAGTAGGTGGTAATTACCTGCAAAATAGAGGCAGAAATTTTCTCCAAGTTGTACTGCACACACAAGAATCTCTTCGCCACTCATCTTCACTCTGCCAAAAACACATGAATAAGATTCAGAGTTAAGAATAATGCTTCTTACACTATAAGGCAAGGGAGTTCTTGGGCTAGTGCTCTTCTAGCACGCGATACTGTTGTAGGGCTGGCATCTTTGATTACCTGTTGTTGCTTTTTAAAATAACTGTTCTCCTCCTCTGCTGCCTTTTATTTTACAAAGCTTTTCATTGACTTACATGATGTTACATGGGAAAAAAATAACAATTCCTTACTATTTGGTCTTTCTATGAGAATGCTAATAAGCAGCTCCATGAACATACTTCATCAAATTAGTTCTCTTCTCTTGGGCCTGCAAAAATTATCTTACTATCCCACGGTCGTTTGATTTTTCTGATTCTAATTTTCAAATGGGGAAGTGACTAAGACTGGATTAAGCACCCTGTTACTGGCCATTAAGCCATAGAAGTTTTATTAAGTCTGCACAGACTGATCTTTCCACATTCCCTCTACAAAAGACACAGCTTCCAAAATACCTGAAACTTAATCCACCTTTGCCCCTTGGAAGGGCCTGTAGCTTTTGCATCTTGAGCTGGAATTGTGTAGGTTCCTAGAGAAGCTGGGATGTAGTTTATTTTGCAATAGCAGTGATTTGCTTATGGTGTTTTAAATTTATATGAATTCAGGTTGAATTCTGAGCTTGATTTTACAGCTCTTCTCTTGACACAGAGAAAAGTGAAGAAAAAAAAGATGGTTTTCCCTTGGGAATAACAACAATCATTTTACCAATAAAACCCCTGAACTAATCATTAAAGACCAGCCAGCTACTGCACTTGAGAGGTTCCAGCCCCTGTTCTACGCAATTCAGGGTGAATTTAGAGCTAGCCCAGGGCTGCACTCTGCCTCTAAGGTCAATACACAACACTGTCCAAGAACTCCAGAAGAATAATTAGTTTTAGCTTTGTTCATATCCTCAACCTCATACAGTTAACAGCCAGACAGGTAAACATTATATCCTTTAGCTTTGTGACACACGGTGACTGAGAGTATGTCACACTCTCAGTCTCTTTAATGGATAAAATAATGTATATGTTTAATGTATATGACAAAAGAACAGTGGTGGTCATGAATTTGCTACGCCCATTCCATTTACCTGTAACTCATCCCTTTTCTTCTATCATAAAGTTTTTGTTTATGCTGGCAGAAAAGGGACACCCATGCATACCCCAAGCCTTTGAAACTAAATACCACGACACCAAACAGTACATGACTTCTACCTAGTGAAGGAAACCAAGTCAAGGACTAGTATTATTCTACAGCAGAGGGGAAGGCATAAGCAAGACTTACTGATAAAGGATTAAAGGAAAATTTGGCCCTTTGTTTAACAAGTGAAACACATAAAACGATCACACTTCTTCCCCTGATACACAGTAAAAGATGCTTAGATCCTTTACCATGCACGTTTGAAAGGAAAGCTAGAAGCTAAAAGGAGATTTTAGCGGATTGTTCGAGGTGCTGTGTAATGACGCCCGCGGAGAAACAGCGATGCAGGGAAGGGAAGGAGCAGGGCCCGGGGCAGCGCGGGCAGGAAGCGGGCGCGGTGCCGAGCCGCCCGCAGACAGCCCG